GATTTTAGGTTGTCTTCCAGGATTTGGTGAAAATAACAGGAACTGGGAACCTAAACCCCTGCTGCAGTGGAAGCTCTGGTGGTTTGGTGGTGAGGAGCAAATCCAGGCACAATGTAATCACTGCTAACATGTCAATCCAGACTGATTAACTCTGTCACTGTTTCTGGATGGAAATCGTGTTTTTTCCCATTCGGAAAGCACAAGTGGTCAGCCGCAGCTGCTCTGTTTCTCTCTTTGTTGAATTACAGCAATATTTAGAGTCTGTTTTCCAGTTCAGTTATGTTTATTCAAAAATTACTAATCTAAACCAAATTGATGTTATGTAACTTGGTCTGAGTGATTACCTCATATCACTAAAAGTTTTCAACTATGTGGGGTTTTTTTTTCTTATTTGATGAGTTTAAAATGTAATATTTTTGTTGAAAAAGGCTTAAAAATCTAGCAGTTTCAGAAATTTCTTAACCTTGAAGTCAAATTGTGAAAGTCACCAATGGTAGAGTTACAAAGCTTCTAATGACATATGCAAAATACAAAAAGCTTCTTTTGATGGAGACCTTTTGCACCTCCAGAAGATTTTTTTAAATTTGATTTTGTTGTTGAAAAACTGTATTTATGTAGTATTTACGTGATGTAACTTCACATCATGTAGTGTATGCATATAGAAGCAATAAAAAGAAATCACTCTGCACGGACAAAAGATGCCAGGCATCGATTACACAAGTGTGTTTTATCCTGCGTGGAGGGTTGTAGCGTGTGTAGCTTTAAAGTGTCACATTCTTGCACAACACTCCGATTTCAGCAGTTTTACATAAAAGACTGAACTTTTTTTATTTTCTTTAAAACACCTTGACTGTCTCAGATGAGACACTCAATTTCTGTCTTAGACAAACAACGTAGAAAGGAAAGTACATCTACTCTTGAGAAAGCATTTATAGAAAACAGTTTATGGTAAAGACTGCAGATACAGATGCCCTATTATTCACGGTATCTTAATGACAGTGTAATGACTTTTTATTTCCCCCCAGAGTCGACGCAGTATACGGGTCTTTGGAATAGAAATCTTCAAATTTACAGGTTCTGTCTGCATTTAGAAAATCAAGGGCAAGGCAAAAAAGTGAGAGGGAAGAATAATTATCTGAGGCAGGTGTGGTATAATGTGTGATAAACAGAGGAGGAAAGAAAGAGCGACAGAACAAAGGGTATAAAGATAGAAGTGTCAAACATTGGCGCGTGCCAAGTCGTCTGTTGTTGTCTTATGATGGTTATGACACTTGTGATAATTAACAAAAGCTAAGTGGAATAAATTTACAACAAATCACACTACCTTGATTCTTTGACAGTTTGCATGTGGGTTTGGAAGAACTTTTCACAGAAAAACAAGTTTACGTCTCATTGTTTAAAAAAGCCTTGGTGGATTTTTTTGTTACGCAGGAGTAGAATAATTGCTTCCATTTATTGCAGCAAAGCCACAGTTAGTGCACAGCAGCACCAGTCTCCTGTACTTCCATGTACCTCCGACATTTGTTGTTATGACAGGAATTTATGCTTTGAAAGCTTCTTTATTAGGATCCCGCAGGGTCGTACAGTATACGGGGGATCTTAGATTAGATGATGTGACCACTGACCCCTTCATGAACTTCGGAAGAGATAACTTTGTTTAGGAGAGATGGCTGTAGGTTCACTAGCAACCGCTGCAGTCAATCAGTATGTTTGGTAATCTGATTCACTGCTGCCAGGATGGACGGGTGCCCCTTTGCTGAACTGGTGTTCAAATATCTGACTTGATATGTGTGTATATATAAATTTATTGTGAAGTCCACATTGTAACTATCACCAAACCGGCCTTTTATCTTAGGCATAATGTCAGGGTGTCTTATTTCTCTCAGTGGCAGACACTGAAAAACAAACCCTAACCTACGACATGTTTAGATGAACTTCAGATCATTCAAACTATTGAAATCGTGCCTGAATACATGGCAGACGGAGCGACCTGCAGTCGTCTGGCAGTGGACTTTAAGTCTAGAGTAAGACGCAGTGTTAGTGCATGGTCCTCGCTTCTGCTACAGTCCACCCAAAGACGCCTAAATTTGATGTTTTCCAATGAAACCAAATCTTTTTAGCTTTGCATTTACATAGATTACAGACATTTTTGTAAACTGATATTTTAGTGAGTTCATTTCTAATCTCTTACAGTGCTGCATTAGGCTCTCTCTTTTTTGGTTAAGTTTATTTGACATTACAAGAAGGAGGACATCAAATCACACACAGCTCCAAAAACAGTATTACTATAAAAAAGGTCCCAAACTATTTTTATTTTATTACCTGTTATCTGATATATTTCACTTGATCTTATCTTTATTTTTTTGGATGTCTTTGCTATTGTTGAAGTTGAATTTATTGCTTCATACTCCTATTTCTATTTTTGTGTTGTATCTACTGTATTCATATGATTCATGGTTTAGTATTTGTATGTGAAAAACCTTATATTACAGTCTTTTACCGAAAGTATAATTTGATAACTGGAGACCAGCCTGTCTGAGTTAAATCTGAAACTCTTTACCCTGCAAATGAATAAGATTAATTAGCTGTTCATTTTACATAACAGTGTGAGTGAATTGCTCTGTTTTTCATTGCCTCCATTGACCGTATGAGTCCTGCACAGTGGTTTTGTGCTGTGTGAAAGTACAACTGTAGTTTCATGGTGACCTTGTGTTTACTGCAGATATGGATCAGCCACAAGCCAAATGCTGGTCGTGGTTAAGGCTTTCATACAGTACCACCCGCTTGGGCAAGAAACCGGCCATTATCTCAAGGAATGGTTTTACTCTTAAATTCAAGAAAGAGTCAATGTGGCACAGTTTGGCTTTAAAGGAAAGCACAAACATATTTACTTTTATTTGTATTTTACCCTAAATTGAGATGTCTCTAAGTTTAGTTAAAGAAAAATCCAAAAATGTTGGAGGTTCTTTAAATCCTTAATTGTCAAAATAAAAGTCCTCCTACTGAAAGTACTGAGGACATTTTTACTCCTACCAAAAGTAGAGATCCGCTACATTATAACAAACAGTTACTTTATTTTTATATGAGTGTGTTAAAAACTACATATATGATACTTTGATTAAAGAAAAAAATAAAATTGTTGTGTTCATACATTGTACATTTTGGCCTGTAACTTTCCTTCATTGTTGTTTTAGGGAATATTAATTTACTGTTTTTTGTACGTTTTAAGTTCAAATCAGATGGCCGTAATTTGAAATATAACTGGCCAGACAAAATAATCAAAATCACAAAAAAACAACAACAACTCTTGAAATGTTGGGTTGTGCGGTTGTAATAGCTGTATTGTTGAATTATTGATCTATGAGCTTCAGTAAACATGTCCTACACAGACTGAATGGTACATTTTGAACCAGGGCCCTTCATATGGTTCCCTTACAGCTGCTGTTTCTCTACCGGGGTTTGCTGGTTTATTACCACTAGGCTATGCTGTGCTCCCAGGCCACTCTCCACTCCAGCCTAAACTCACACCCATCCAGGAAAAGATGAGTCTTCACACCTCCTCTGTAGCCTTCCCTCACTCCCCCCTTCCTATCGCTCTGTTTTTTTCCCCCTCCTGGTTTTATAGCTCAGCTCCAACACCCAGCTTTTTCCACTTGTTCTCTCCTCATCGTCATCCTTCATCTCTCTGCTTTGCCGCTCTCCTTTTTTCTCACTTTCCCTCCCTCCCTCTCTCCCTCCCTCTCCTTCTCTCTCTCTAAGGTGCTGATCAATTCACAGTCTCCCTGGGAGGTGTGAGAAACCTTCCCCATTCCTCACCCATCCACCCACTGCCACCCTTACCCATCCACCCTGAATGGTGCGACTGGCCGGCACGTGATATCCCTTACCCTTCCCTCCCCCAAATCCTTCACCCCTGGATTTTTGGAGAAAGAGGAGTTCATGTGATGATGATGACAATGCTGCTTTCCTTCTGGTCTTCCTTTTCTCCTCCTGTCCTCCTCTTTTCCGTCCGTCCTCCCTCTTCCTCCCTCAGCAAAAGTGTCTGTGACACCATTAGCACACCTGAAATAATAACGGTGGTGACAAATGCTGTTGGAACGGGAGGGCGAGAGACAATGAGAGAGAAGGAGGGAGAGAGAGAGAGAGAGAGAGAGAGAGAGAGAGAGAGAGAGAGAGAGAGAGGTGTGTGATATAGTGATGAGCTCTCTATCTATCTGTGGGGTTAATTCAGACTCAGCAGCCTTTCAGAGTAAAAGGAGCTGCTGACCCGGTGGCCAGTGGCACAATGTGAAAATTGACTGGCAGCATTCAGCACAGCTATAATCACAGACCGTGTGTGTGTGTGTGTGTGTGTGTGTGTGTGTGTGTGTGTGTGCACATTTATCATTCTATATATGTGTGCATCTGATTTCACACACTTCTCACCATATAGGAAAGCAGCTGCTCATCACATATGTATCTATAGGTGTGATGCAGTGATGTCAGTGTGACTGGGATATCCAAGCAGCTCTTGTATCTGTCCAGGTTGAGTCGTTTGCAGTTCTTTATCATGAATCCACATGTTCATATTAATGCAACACCTACGTGTGAACTGTTCAGAGGGAAAGCTGCAGCAGCTTTCTTACTTTTAAGGCTGTAACATTTACAGCTTTACATTGGTGTATATTTTAAACATATAGATAGCAGTTGCAGTTTTACACAAATAGTAATACTAGAACGGAGATGTTTGTGATTGTGCATCAAACTTAATCGAAGGTTTAAGTTCTTTAACGCTTCCATCTTTTGAGTTTATTACTTTATTTGCAATTTGTTTATGATTGCAGCTTAAGAAAAGTTTAAAAGGTCATTCCTAGCTTAAACAATACTTAAATGCATCAATAGAAATGAGCGGATCTCCTTATGCTTTGTGCAGTATCAACAGTTTCAGAGCTTGAAATAAATCAAACACACACTGTAGATAAACACACTGGACACTTGCAATAAAAGGCAGCACACCAAAAGACAGCTAGCACCGTTATGTATTTTATTTGCATGTATTTATTTGCATTATTTACATGAACAAAGTGAAGAAATATGAATATGATCAATTTCTTCTATAGGTTCAAACATTATATTCTGCTTTAAGTGCAGCATGCTGAATAAGATAAAAATGCAACACTGCAACAGAAGTATACCAAAAAAAGTTTCAAGTGTATTTATGTTGCAGGGGTTTCACTTGAACTTTTTATCTTAATTATTTGAGCAAGACTCTTCCTGTGTCTTTCTGCATGCCATGTAATTTCCAACAGCTCCGGTAGAAGGCGCAAATGATTAAGCATTAATGTGTGTGAGAGGCGAGAGCAGCTCACATTAACATTTAGGCCAAACTGCAGCACTGAAAACTCCCAGAGGAAAGAGTTACACTGATTCCATAGTTTAACATTAATATTGCGATACATTATATTATTGCCAATGAACCAAAGCTATGGTTTTACACCATCAACAACAAGCCATAGTATTTACCATGATGATTTCGGTGCCAGGTAATTACACTCCCGAGATATTAGTGCCACTATTTAAAAAAATAATTTGCAAAAATCTCATCCCATCATTCTGTTCCAGTAATTTGAGACAAACTGTGTATTAAATTAATTCTAAGCTATATACTTTCATAAATTAGTAGATCATTTGTAAACGATGATGGAGAATTAGGATGTAATACATGACTTTCTCATGTGACACCGAATGCCACCTCGCGTTATACCTCATTACACTAACTTTTAAAATAGATCTCCGAGGCAACAGAAATCATTTGCTTGCACAAAGCCGAGCGCCTTTTATTTATTTTTTTCATGACTGAATAATTTCAGACCTGAACTCACACAGCGCCTAAACGCACCCTAATGAATCCGGCTGCATATTCTGACAGGCGATAATATACTAGTAGTTTCATATAATTAGATAAGCTGTGAAAACTTTGCACCAGGTCTGTCTGCCTGCCTGTGTGCTGCAGCGGTGACACAAAGCAGAGAGACTCGGTGGACTTTGCAGATCCCAACACGTTTGGGCGCAGAGCTGCGGGGCTGCAAAAAGTTTGACCTCAGTTTGACTCCTCGGGCTGCCAGTTACTCCTTGTTTCTCCAAACAGCGGCAGACAGACAGACAGACAGACAGACATACAGATCTTAACAAGGGCCAGGACAGTGTATCTCTAACCTGGAGTTTTTTTTTTTTTTTTTTACTAAAAACTGAGCGTATTAAAATTAATACTCACATTTGCATTATTTATTACAACAGTCTTTGAGCTAAAAATAACTGGTGGTGACTTAAAATAGTAATATGTTACACGGTGAGGAATACACATCTCAGACAGGGATTTTCTGCTGGATAGGTGTGTTTTTATAAACTAAACATAAAGACTGTAACTTCTCTTTGTCTCCAAACAGCACAAGTCAGTGCGCACAGGCCGTGTGGTAACGCTTCCATTTGTTTCGGCAGTCAAACATGCTGTCAATTTACATTCAGCCGTTTGAAAGTAATACCTGCTGATTTTATTGAAACGACTCACAGCATTACCGTCATCGCAAAGCGGATTAAACAGAAATGACGGTATTTGCCCCCCTGCTCTCTCTCAGGATGCCAAAATGCGCTGACCCTCACGAAAGAGCAACTCCAGGAGAGAAAGTGGAGCTCCAGTTTGCTTTTATAGACGCTAATTGAAGTAGCTTAATTGCTTTATAATGCCATTGTAGTTATTTTACAGTGGTCGGGCGCTGATGTGGTCTCCTTTCATGTTAATTTAGCATTGCCTTTTCTCAATGACCCTCTAAAATTTAGTGTGCCTTGTGGTGTAGTGAGCTATATAATCCTGTTTGTGTTTCACTAAACCCACAAATTTAGCTGAAAGTCGATTTAAACAGCATATTCTGCTTTAATTAAAAATAACTTCCCTTCTAGAAAATATCTCAGTGACAATAATGCGTTTTTAAATAATTTAATATGCCGTAAAAAATCATATATAAAAAGAATGAGAGAGGGAGAGCTTCTACTCACCAATAAATAACTGAATTATCAAACTCGACGAGCACAAGTCAACCCCGTTTATTATTTGATCCGGTGTCTCTGTGCGTAATAGTCCGTGCGTCCTGCGCGGCTTCGTGCTTCTCTGCTGTCCGCGCCCCGGAGCCTCGCCGGCCGGACTGCAGGAGGCTTTGATAGTCATTTCATGCCTGTAAATTTGCCCCCATCGGATCCCACCGGTCGAATTTTACCACAGGAATCACCGCCGAATGTGTGAAGCCGCATTATCATGTTATGACACCATTTGTAGAACCGGGGGCAGATGATCAATGACTGGACGCGCTGCACGGGGGGAAAACAAACTTCAAGCAGGCTGTCACCGACCAGCAACACCTTATGAGCATAATCAGAAGATAATGTGGCTCTTTTACACGTTCTCTCTTCGTGTGTCATGGGCTAAAAAATGCATGAAAAGTTGCATGAACCTGTTGTAGGTGAGCCTCATGAGGAAAACAACCACAAAAATAAACAACAATCTATTGTAATCTCTGGAAATCCTTTACGTCTTCCCTCCTGAAACTAATCCTGTCCAAGTAACTTATCCCGTTTTTATATTACTTCATATGCCATGAAATATATCATAAATATTTAATGCAGATTTTGAGATAGCTAAACTTCTTAATTAAAAAAAACTTGAGGGATAAAATTAAATAAGATTTGTACCCCTTTATATCCCGGCGAGGAATCAAATATAACGAGATAACGTAGTAAATTCAAACTGTTTTGTTAATTTACATCCACACATTACTCAATTATATCATTGCTTTTCTTGAAATTACTCGAGAATCTAAGTTTCCCCTCCATAAATTAAAGTTCATCAATATTTGACCAAACTTTTACAACCTCTGCACTGCAAACCGTGAAACTCGAGTGAACGCTTCATTATAAAGAGAGAAAAAGTTCAAATTAAGAAGTTCTCTGAGATCAAGAAAGTTGACAACATGTTAGTGTGAGTGTAGCTCTGTTTGGTTTGGTGAAGTTTAGTCAAAGTGTGAGTGCATTTAGAAATGAGTAATTAAGTCAGTGATGAGGAGATTGGTGTGTGTGTGTGTGTGTGTGTGTGTGTGTGTGTGTGTGTGTGTGTGTGTGAGAGAGAGAGAGAGAGAGAGAGAGAGAGAGAGAGAGAGAGAGAGAGAGAGAGAGAGAGACAGAGAGAGAGGGGGGTAGAGAGATGTCTTGGTAAAATATTCGGTGTTTTGGTGGATTTACAGCCTGTGGAAGCAGACAGAAAACGCAAAGTGTGTGTTATCTACTCGCGGACGATGTTTTGTTTTGCGCCTCCTCGCAAATGTGGCCTAAAACCGATCAATCAGCCCCGGATCGATCATGTGGGGAGCCAATAGGGGGCTCCCATCCCGGAGCCTCTCTGCCATTGGACAGCCCGGGCAGACTGGAGCGACCCATTCAGCGCTGCTGTGGGGGAGAGGGACGGACGACATGTGAACTGTTATTTAGACATAAAGATGCTTTGAGAAGCTACAGTAACCTTTTAATGACTTATTTCATAATTCAGCATGCAGACCACAACTCCGTGTAAGGATGTGCACTAATTACACTGCACAGAAAACTACCAGTACATAACACTGACTCTAAACAGTGCTCCCAAATAACTTTAATAGGAAAGTTTTAATTTGATTTATTGTTCTTTTTATCTGGCGTTGACACTTTCCTGCGGCTGTGCATTCCCATTGAAAAATCGTATGCACATGTATGCAAACGTGGGAAGAAAATAGACTGCAGAGAGGTTGAGAGAGTGAGTAACCAGAGGCAAAACCTGCAGGACTGGATGTCTGGCTACGAGCTACACCGTGGATATCACGCAAACATGATGTTGACAGACTACCAGAAGCTCAAACTGACTGTGAAACAGTTTTAATGAAAAAGTTTTAGACTTATAACTTCATTTTTTTTTTAAATGAAAGAAATGAATGATTATAAAGTTATATCCAGTCCAAACCGATACAGATTCAGATCACATAGACTCTTGATAACATACCTGATAATATATCTCAAAAGAGTTGAAAGATGGTTCAATAAGCCGTTAATAAACTGTTTACCGGCGGAGAAGTTGATGCTGGACGTGTCAGTCCCGAAACACAGACCTTTCGGTGTTTACACACGGCTCCAGGCTGAAGAATAAAGTCAGTTTATGAGAATGGGACATATAGTTGAAGTCATAGGTGGGTATTCTCTGTTTATCCCCGTGTTGTTCCAGCTCGCGGTGCGGCTTGCTGGGCTCGCTGGGTCCTCCCACCCCCCCTCCTCTCCGCACGACTTGCTGCAGCCCGGTGCGTTGTGTAAGACGCGACCTGTTATGGCCACCACTACTTCCGGGTTTCAGCAGTCTGGTCCAGATCCTCCGCTCCTCCTCAGCTCAACACACACATCCATTGTACACAAACGGGCAGGCGGCTCATGCATACACACGCACTCACACACATACAGCCACATACACACACACATATACGCACACACGCTCAGCATCGATCGTGGCTCCTTTAAGAAAGCCTAAGCCAGAATTATCACCCCACCTCCTCTTGATCTCCTCTAGACGCTTTTGCATAAGAAAATCAAGCCGGGAGCCGAGAGTGATCAAAGAAAACGAGAGGAGAACTGCTTCATTTTTTAACTGTGATTGTGACCATTAACATTTAGGTGGTGCCGATCCCGTGGAGACGCGCGTCGGACCATCATTCATCCGGTACTTTTGACAAGCCCTCGCGTTTTGACTGACAGGCGGAGTGGCAAAAAGCCATGAGAGTCGCCAGTTTTGTTTGAGGGGCTATTTTATTTTCATCCTGGTTTTGGAAAAGGAGCCTGGCGCCGCTGCCCCGAGGATAGCCGAGGACCTATTCGCCGCGCCTGGGCTAAACTTGCGCAGAAAGCGGGGGCTGGCTTCACCGTTCCGTGGAAAAAAAAAGGCATACGGGATTTTGGCTGAAACATCTTCCCATTTATTTGGAATTTCTTTCTTCATTTCGTCTCCACCCTGGCCTCAGAGGGGATTTATCTAAACTGAAAGGACGACCAGGGAGTCAGGAGGGTTATGGCGCAACGGGTACGTAGGGCAATCCCCCCTAAAAAAGTTTCTCTAAGTCTGCTGTGCTTGAATGCAATCCTGCACTGTAACGTGGCTTAATGACACACATACCCGCACGGACACACACTCGCGGCGAAAGTTTCTCTCGTCTTCCTGACACATGGAGACACCATTTCATTTTTCGGCGTCTTTTGGCACGGTATTACGCACGGCCACACTCGTTCGCTCCACGAACCGGCCCACTGAGGGACATTGGAAGCGTGATCATATCTCACATCGGCTATGTTTTTTAGATTAGTTATGACAGGCCAGTTACTGGAAGCGAAATGGGGGAGGGCATAGAGGCAAAACAAATCTCCACATTTCTCTTCAGACTGTTCCGTCAAGATTTCACATTGAGGAGGGGGGGGGAGAAGACTTAGGAAGAAAACACAAATCCCTGTTTCACCGTCACTTCTGCTTCATCACTCGGCTTTACACCGCAAAATGCGCTAAAACATGCGATATTAGCATAATGCCAGTGGAGCAGTTTTTAGGAATGAGGTGATGACAAAACGCTTTGATTCATACACTCCAGGACTTTCTTCAGAACAGCGGCTGGGATCTTCACACGGATAGTAAACAGCGTCAAAGCAGAGATGTTAGGGACACACTGGACACATTTAGCTACCTAGTTTGGCACTGGAGCTGCACCACGCTGGGGTTTGCACCTCTTCGCCTTTAGGGTCCGAATGCTCAGCTTTAAGTGATAATGCTTTTTACTCTTTCCCCGGCACTTGTTTGTCACTTCCAGAGAGCACTATCAATAATTCAAGGCTCTTTTTTTAAAAAAATCTGTCGAAGAGGCAAACCTCAAAATAAAGATTTTATTTCAGACTTTTGCATACCTGCAACAACAATTCCGCCACCGAGCACACCAGCAGCTGTTCAATAAGTACTAAACAAGAGTGTAAAGACGAGAGTGCATTATTTAACTCAAAACTGACACGTGGAAAAGTTTGAATATCCAGCTGCAGTTTAACGTCGTCTGAAAAAACACAGCAACTTGCGTTTGTTGCATGCACTGATCACAGTGCGAACAACATGCTGCACAATTATGAGCCTTTAAAATTGGAAAACAGTGTAAGTAAGAAGTTGAAGAGATTTGTTGCACACAGTGAGAATACAGAGCAGCAGACTGATGGACCTAATTACTGCCTGCTTAATGACAATAACTGAGCCACGTTGCTGGACGTTTTTCTACTCCCAGACTTTTTAAACATATTCAATAATTCATATTTATTTTATTCATATCTGAGCTACAAGGGTCACTGTGAATAAGTCGAGAACAAATCGTAGTTTTCACGTCAGAATAAATGTAGTTTTCCTGTAAACAATATTCTGCTGAACAAGCCACTCACACTTCAGTCTTTAAAACTTGTTCTCTTGAAAACGAGTTAAAAATGAAACCACTGGCATGAATTTATTTCTCTAGTTTCGCATGTTTTACGAGTGTCAGTATTGTGGAAGAAAGCAGAAAAGGCAGTTCGGTGCACTAGCATCAGGAAACAACTCTGAATTAAGACAAATGTTGAAACAGGTCGACTTGTTTTGGAAATTAAAGAAACCATTTCGCCCTGCACGTTTTTTTTTTTTAGAAGAAAAACAAAACTTCAAGTGTCACTTCTCCTACTTTAAATAACTTTTATAATATATTCTTGTGGTTTTAAAGCAGACTTATAGTTTGACATAATCTTGTTCACGTATATTCACTGTGGCCCCGCGTGTTTGTTGTGTGCAGTACGAAGACTTGCCCCACTACGGGATGGACGGGGTGGGCATCCCGACCACCATGTACGGAGACCCGCACGGCGCCCGGTCCATGCAGGCGGTGCATCTCAACCACGGGCCCCAGCTGCACTCCCACCAGTACCCGCACACCGCCCACACCAACACCATGCCTCCCAGTATGGGCTCCTCCGTTAACGACGCTCTCAAGAGAGATAAAGACGCTATATACGGGTAGGTGCAAGGCTCCGGTCCGCGGGGAAACTCGCTCTGTGGCGGGCAGGCGTGCATCCAGGCCTGGAGGGGGCAGTCGGGGTGGGCTAGTGGGTGTAAAAGTCAGTGCCGTAGCAGGAAAAACACCGGCTCAGTGCCCGGCTGTGCGTCTCTGCGAAGTGGTTCAGCAAAACAGTGGAGCCCAAACTGCCGCACAGGCGCTGGGAAAGAGAGCGGCTGCAGCCTTTTTGTCCTTCCTTCAATTTTTACACAGTTCACAATTGTATTCTTTTTAAGTCAACATGCTTATCGCACGTTTCTACTGCAAACAATTGAACAAATACTACAGGAGTAAAAATAAATATAGAGTTTACTTATGGAGACTATCTCACCAGTGTCCTGCTGCTTAGTATTTTACAGAAAAATGTAATTAGACTCTTAAGAATAATAATGAGACAAAGTCCACTTTAATTAGAACTTCTAATAATTTTTTTAAAAGAATGTAACTGGCTTAGTTTCTTTTTTAAGTTCCATAATTTATTATAAGCAAAATTATTACCTTCTCCCTTTTAACCATTTTAATTAATTGTGTGTAATATTCCAGGCTTCAGTAAATTAAAAATATATCATGTTTGAAGGAAATCCCACATATGCATGTCATTTATTAATTTACAGCAGTTTATTTAAAAATGTAAGCATTATGTTTTCACGGTGGCTAAACATGCCAGCAAGAGTTTCACCATCTCACGCCACACAACTTTCAACACATTACCAGTCTGCACATATTTACTCTGATGACTTCAACAATAAATAGTCATCAAATGTGCGCACATTTATCCGCCAGCAGCGCACACACACACGCCTGGGATCCAAACGGAGACCTGTGCAAGAAATTGTTTGACTGACTCTAAAGCTTTTATGCTATTAGGCGCACCTAGATTTAATCACAGAGTCCGCCCGCTGTTTGCAGCCTTCCTCCGAGCCTCTGCATAATATAATAGCATGGGCTGCAGCAGCAGTCCCCATGGGCGAGTTGTTGAAGAGTAGCATGGCTGGCTAAATCTAGCCTGGAGTAGTCTTGACCCCGGCGCTGTTCTCTCTGGTGACATTTGCTATTGTGTGTGTTCCCAGGCACCCCCTGTTCCCCTTGCTTGCACTGATTTTTGAGAAATGTGAATTAGCGACTTGCACCCCCAGAGAGCCCGGGGTGGCAGGAGGAGACGTCTGTTCATCGGAATCTTTCAATGAAGACATAGCAGTGTTTGCAAAACAGGTCAGAAAGTTTGACTTTTTTTTTTTTTTTTTAATCTGCATGCTCGGGCTCGTTGTGCTCTTCTCTTGCATGCGTGAAGCTCTTGGAAGTTAATTCTGCAGTGGATGAAAACAAAACGGCACTCACTAATAAAAAAAAGTTATTTCAAAATGTGTCAATTTCGTGTAGTGTGTTTGCTGTGCATAAAGTAGGATTTGATACACCATTGTGTCAATGCTTGCATGTTACATTTAATCCCACACAATATAAAATGTATAAGTTTATAATATTTTATGTTCACACATTTTATAAAAATGTTTTTTGCTTTTAGATTCGGGCAGAAAAGCCTTTATTTTCATCGAATCCAGAATTGGATAATCTGGTAAGATGCATTATATTTTTATATGACACATTTCCTATATTTGCTCAGAGTATTTTCCTATGTACCAGCTGTTGTTTGCATGTTTACTGGCGGGCTGTACATATGTGTCAGAGAGCCATGTGGTGCTAGAAAAGTTACAGCAGGATTGGAGGTTATGTTCCTCTTTTTGGGCTGTTTGATATCATAATGGCCCCCGGTTGTATCTGTAGATGAAGGGCCGCTGTTAGACAGCTGTCACAAACCTTTGAACTCTGCCTGGAAAGTTATTGTATTCATGCTTTTCACTTTGTACACTTTGGTACTTTGAATGTGACGTGAGAGTAACGTTTTCCTCACGACTAGTTGGTGGTTAATAGATCTCTGACTCTGAGGCTTATTGCAGCGCCAGTCTCTACTGTATGCCTGCTCTCCATATTGCAATAACGCCCAAGTTTAATATCAGTTCCACATAAAATCCATTCATATGAATATTTTCCTCGTCTGAAGTTACTTGTATTGAGAAAACGTGCCTGTTTAATATCAAGAGATGTGAGCAGCTCATTTTTTATTGTTATTTTAATTTTTCAGATGATTCAAGCCATTCAAGTTTTACGGTTTCATCTTCTGGAGCTGGAGAAGGTAATATTCTCTCGCCATTTCTGTCCAGTGTGCCACTTCAGACCTATGGGCTGTATTTGCAAAAAAAAAAAAGAAAATGTATTTTTGCTAGTCGGTTATAATTAGCGTCAAAATCAATCATGGGGCCATTTCTCTTCCACGTTTAATCACGACGCAAGCTGTTACAACTGGAACGGATATCTCTGTACCCAAATCTCCCCGCATGTTTTAATGAAGTTTAATGCTGGCAGAAATTGCATGCAAGGTGAAACATATAGGCGAACTTTGCGGGTTTTTTTAGAAAAGATTCTTTGTGGAGGGCAAAAGGCCCCAGGCAGCCATCTGTGGATAGAGGGAGTAGTGGGTGTAAAACTCTGATTTGTCTCCGTATCAGATGGACTACAGTAGCCTGTGCTGTCAACTTTCACCTGAACTTTAACGTTATGAAACATCATCAAAGCTGTTAAAAGTTTTAGTTTTTTAAAACTTGTTTCTGGTGCACCGCCTTTTTCCTGGGATCATGCTGCCTATAAACGCGTGTTATAAATGAGGGGTTGTAAAGTGTACATACTGTGCAATAAAGGGCATTTAGTAAATCAAGTTGAAGGTGGTTTGCAGTCTACATTGCTCTCTCCATCGGACATTTTTGTTTCTCGGGCGATCATTGCCAGTGATAATGTAATAAGTAGACGAAATTAAACAGTTTACCTTAAATGTCAGTCAAGCGGGTCACCCTCCTCTAATGGCCACTACCCGGGGCACCGATGATGAATTTAACACGGGTGTTGAGTGCGTTGTAGCCCCTGAGCCCTCTTGTCACTGTCAATTTTCGACGATATCTCTATTTTGAGTGGGGAAAAATAAAGTTACTATCACAGCCCGGATGGAGCACAATGCCAGCACGGCACGGCACGGCACGGCACGGAAACTGGACTCATCAGCCTGAAGGAGTAACATTTAAGTTTTTATAATTTCAGAGCAAAGGTGAAACAAAATAAAAAATAAAAAATAAACTTTTTGGAGGTTAAATAAATTAATCGAATTTGAGTTTTTGACCATATTTAACCTGATCATTTATCCCAGTACAAAAACAATAATATGTGGCCAGTGATCAGCCATGATCCATGTTTGTCATGCTTCAACTCTATTAAAATATTTAAACCCATCAGATGTAAAACTGTGCTGTGATCTAAGGGTTTGCCAAATTGCCCTAAAAACTCTTAAGTAATCTTTTTGCATGTCACAGGCTGCCGTGTGTGTGTGTGTGTGTGTGTGTGTGTGTGTGTGTTGTGGTTGCACATGTCACTGTTGTGTGATGATGTCCCTTTTGGGTGAGTGTGTGTGACGCCTCTGCCTCCTCTCCTTCTCTCCCTCTCTCTCTGAAGGTGCACGAGCTGTGTGATAATTTCTGTCACCGGTACATCAGCTGCTTGAAAGGCAAGATGCCCATCGACTTGGTCATAGACGACAGAGAGGGCGGGTCCAAGTCAGACAGCGAGGAAATCACAAGATCATCGGTGGCCCTTGATCAGGTACATCTCTCTCTCCCTCTCCCTCTGTGTGAGTGAGTGAGTGAGTGAGAGAGAGAGAGAGAGTGTGTGTGTGTGTGTGTGTGTGTGTGTGTGTGTGTGTGTGTGTGTGTGTGTGTGTGTGTTCTCCCTGCTGGCTATTCAGCTATTCTGGGTCACTACTCCGCTGCGCTGTTATTTGCATATGATTAAGGCCGTTTTACATTCCATCCATCGGAATGAAAAAAATTCTGAATAATGTTGCTATTATTGGCCCATTAAGACTTGAACCCGGAACCGACCTGGGGAGATTAGCTCGAAAAAGCATCGCCATAAACTTGACCTGTTTCATGTCGATTTTAATTTAGTGCCTCTCTCCATTTTTCTCTCTCCTCTGTCTCTTTTTTTGAACCAAAACGAAACGTTATCAGCTCGTCTCTGCTGTGTTGCCCAGGAGAGGAGCAGCAGCAGCAGCAGCAGCAGCAGCAGCAGCAGCAGGATGGGCTGCAGACTGTGGTTTAGGTGCCTTGGTTTTTCTCCACTGTGGAGTTCACGGTTCATTACGCGTCTTGTCAGTATTTTTCCTTAGACATGAGTGCACATTGCTTATCGAGACCCCTCCTCTCCTCCTCCTTTACTCCGCTCAGAGCGCACAGATTCAGCACCAATAAGAAGGTTTATGTTTTTTTTTGGAAAGCCATAGAAGCAGCGGGTATTAAAGGTAGATTAGGGAGTGTTTCCTTTTGTGCCGATATCAGAGATAACCGCAGCCTTCATTATGTGCTCCACTGACTGTTGGCACTTTGGGGACATTGTAGTGTGCGCGCAGGCATGACCCTAATGGTCCATACACTGCCGTTAAATAATGATAACAGCAACCGATGATTAGAATTATGCAAATCTGGATTTTCGGCCATTAATAGCTCGAGTCATTTGCGCAGGAGACAGGGTTGCAGGCTATGAAACCGTGTTCCAATAAGTTTAACTATCCCAGAGTTTTAAGGAATGACTTCGTAGAGGAGCGGCTATAACCTATGGATACCGAAGAGGGAAATGAAATCAAGTGTCCAAATTAAAGGGATTAGTTGGATAGTCCGACATAAAAAGTAATGAAGCGATTAGGCTAAATAATTTAAATCCGCGGACTTCCATATGGTTGAGTGGCTGGTCTGAGTAGAGAGAGAGACAGCCACCGGCTTTTATGTTCTGTGCTGAATGGCCGGACTGGGGCCCGACTGGGAAGGCCCCCACCATGCCGCGCATGCACTCCTCCAGCCCCGGCCCTTATGTCTGATTATGGAAATGAGAAAGATCACCCGGAAGATAATACTTCATTTAATCCAGGAACAGAATTAAATAACACAGACGCCACTTGTGCATTTAAGTGTCTCTTTGAAGGGCTTGTTGTTATTCTCCCGGGGATTCAGTTGTCAAAAGTTTTTATTTTATTTATATAGATAGGTCAGGACATGGAATGGAGCCTTATGGTATATAGATATGGTAATAGAGTCTGGTAAAACCCTTGGGTTTCTAGGTATATGAAGGAAATTATGTTGTGCTTGGGGCACTGATGCAGATCTTTAATTGACTGTAAGATGAAGACATGGCCTATTTTAATATAATGATCGTCCCTACATATAATTCAGGGCAAAACCACATAAGCGTATGTTTACACTGATTTGACAGAATAATATAAATGACCTACAGGCATAGTTTGCATTAAAATGCAGAGAAAACTTTTTGACAGATGTGTAATATTGAGGGATGGGCTGATGTTCCAGAAGGATAACATGGAGACTGTCCACAGCAGCAGGCTGTGTGTAAATGGGCATATCCAAACAGGCAGAGGGTGCATGCCTCTCATTGCTGAATACTTATATTGTCAATCTAATGGCAGTGCACATCATAACTTACTTGCAGCCGAATATATATATATGTTGAGTTTTGTGGGCTATTTTTGTGTGACATCTTATCTGCAGTTGTTAGGCAGTGACATCCTTAACGAATTTGCGTTGTGTGTGCATTATCTCTTTCCATATGTATTTTTAATATATGCCCTCGGGCATAAAGTTGAAGTGGACTGGAAAAAATGCTGAGAATTTGCACAAAAGAACAATGTTAACAAGACGGAGAAAGCAGGCTCATTTATTCATAAACCAATTTATTCCAGTGAGGCGACTGTAGCAGAGGAGAAAAAAAATGTCAGAGGAAAAAAAAAATACTTTGAATTTATTAAACTCAACAATCCAACAACACTGACTTTCTTGCTGCATTATGCACCCTTGCGTCATAACAGTAATTTTCTGAATATTCTTTACATGTCTTTACATTGTTTTGCTAGCCTGACTATGCAGGCGAGTATGGAGGGAAGCTGAGCGCCCCTTTCAAAAGAAAGCAGAGCATAGCTGAGAGGTGAAAAAGTCAGAGAGGCTCTGCGCTGGCTTGCGAATGCAGCCCAGCCAGTTTGGGCTCACCCTCCTGTGTTTGTGTGTGTCTTTCTCTGTAGATGTGTGTGTGTGTGTGTGTGTGTGTGTGTGTGTGTGTGTGTGTGTGTGTGTGTGTGTGCAAGCAAATGTGCACGAGCTGTGTGCATGCATCTGTCTACAAGTGTATACATATATGTGTATGTTGTGTGTGTGCGCTGCTGTGTGCATGTGTGTGTTCAGACTGGCCTGATAAATGCAGCACCCCCCTCAGGTGCTATGTGAGTGGAGTGACTGGTTAGCACCAGTTGGACTTTTTTAACCCTCTCCCTGCCACTCCCTGGAGAGCTTCCCACCACGTTTGCCTAATTTCTTCACTTGAGCAGCAGATTTCCTGTTGCCCCATTAGACATTAGACTGCTTTGAGCTCAGCTGTATATGAACATAGAAGACACAATGAAGTTCAATTATTCTGAGAGAATGTTTCAGAGGCCTTTAATTTGGAAAGGCTGCGTATGTCTCAGCCTTCTTGTTGTTGCGGAAATGTGGCAGCAGTCGCTCTGCTGATTGCGTCCCTATTTGCCTGGCACACATGTTCACCTCAGCCAAAAGAAGTGGGGAGGTATTTCCACGCCACCGAACGTCATTTGCACAGTTGCCTTTAATTGCACAGAGAGCACGGGGAGGGGCACAGCAATTTGCTAATGAACTCCGAGGGCCCGGGCTCTCCGCTGTAGAGCAGAACACTACTAATAGTGCTGAGGACTCACTCCAAGTCTCAAGAGCTCCTCTACTTGATTGAGCCATGCAGGCTGAAGTAGGGCTGGAAATAATTGAAATTTCCCTTAAAGATACTCTCTGGCTGCCTTTTTTGTGGATGTGAGAGAGTCTTAAATGATTATGAATGCTCAGCAGTTGATCTGTTGAGTTAATTTAGTGGAGAGGTATTTTTACACGGGAGAGGCTTTGTGGCATTGACATTTTCAGAGTGATTTTGTTTTCTTTTTGCTATTGAAATCATGTAAAAAGAATGTGAAATAGCCTACAATCTGAAATAACATCTATACATTTGGGATCTGTTGCTGTTTTTCTTATGTCCTGCACAATCTTTCCTAAACAAACCCTGCCTGTGTGAGTTTAGTGTTGTGGTCACTGTGTAAGAATTTACTCTTGATAGCGCTATCGCGGTATCTTTTTCCAACAATTGGCACTGTTATGCCATACAAGTGCTGGTTTCCAGGTCAGTGAGACCCAGCAGTGTTGGTTTAGGTAACTCTGGCGGTCAAAGAGTGACCCCTGCCCCCCAGCCTCCTAACTCAATGGAAAGCCTGACCGCTGGGGTCAGCCACTATTTTCCTAATCAGTACACCGCTATCGCTAATCTATCTGCTTCTCGTTGAAGTATGGATCGAGTTACACCCGACTTAACGGGCGCACTCTCTCTCTCTTTTTTTTCATTCCCTCTCTGTCCTACAGTGGCACACTGCTGATCTTAATACAAACTTTTGAATCATCGTGGTGATTGTTGGTAATAGCAGCTTTTGTAGTTGAATAGAGGAGAGGTTTGACCCCCACTCGCCCCCTCCCTCCTTTACACCCCCTCCTCCCTCCCCTCCCCTGAACTCCCCTTTTTTTCCATTGGGGAGTGAATGCGGGGCGGCTGTTAAGGATTCAACAAGTGATACAAAGAGGCGACCACGTGACTTGTGTGTTTCTTAGCCTCTTCATTATTGTGGTGGAATAGCAAGTAGGGGTGATTGTGATTAAGCAAATCAAGGCCAGAGTGACTTCAAAGAAAAGGAACATCCCAAGCTTCTTATATACTTTCATATATATCTATACATCCATAGTACATTTATTTATGCCCATTTTATTTTATTTTTTGGTTGATGTTTTTAAATCATGCAGTATTGCTGGAAACTAGTTCTTAAAGGAGCCCCATTGTATCACAGATACTCTGTTGTGATAGCTGCAAAATCCCAATTGCAAATAAAGTTCTTGGCTTGTGTCTCGCGTTACTTATGATGGGCGGCCATGTCTGTCCCTGAGGCCTGCTGTGGTTTCTTTGGCTAAGTAAACAATAACCTGGCTTAACACATGTGTACTTAGCTAATGGAAAGTTCCTCTCCCCCTTAACCCCCTGCAAGCCTCTGACAATGGCCACCGTCACAAACAGCCCGTCTCCAAGGGATCCACCAAGAACATCCCAGCGCGGCGGCTGCGAGTCGAGCTAGGCTAGGCTAACGAAGAAACCACAGCAAAACATGTCATTAAGAAATTACGCCTGCCTTTTCATTCACGACTGAAAAAAAAGAAATGTGCTTTGTTTGGGGTTAGATAGCGTGGAGGGGAGAGCACTCGAGTTAATGTTTTTGTTTGGATTTCAGCTCACAGAGAGTAAACAAGGAGCCTGTAGCGAGAGCTGTGGAAGTGGAAGAGGCCACAGAGAAAGAAAATCAGTTTGTCAGTTTCCGCGAGTGTCATCCAAATGGACTTTGAAAGCTCTGGTAATTATCTCAAACATGTAATTATCTTTGGTTGTCTCTATGAGGTTAACCCACCGGTTTTAAAAAGCCGATTGAAGAGTACCTGACGGCTATTCAGTGTAGCATACTTTACTTACTCAAGAGACCAAATCCAGTTTTCTCCCTCACCCCCTTCAGCAATTATAAGGTTATTTCTTCTTTCTTTGTCTATTGTGAAGAGTTAGGGAGGAAGGGGAGTGCAGAACAGAATGGGAGGGGATGGGGGGGGGGGGTCTTTTGCTCTGTCACTCCCTTTTCTTTTTTTTTTTTGCACTGCGCATACCATTATCAGCCCCTCTTTTCATTTTGGAGGCACTAATATTGCAGCGAGGGGAGGAGAGGGGTGGAGAGAGAAGAGAAAGCGGAGGTAGTTGGGCAAGCACTTGCCTGGCCGGTTATCAGAGAGGCAGATCCTGCTTTATCTAGTCACAGAGGAAAGCAAAGTAAACAAGAGTTTACAATAGCTGGCCTTTCAGCCCCTTTCACTAACAGCTTCCCCACCAGCATTCAGTAGAGTGGGAGAATGTGTCCGGAGTTATTGCAGGCCATCTCGCTGCTGCAACACATGGCATTCTCGCGGATTTCAACCTGAGGAAGCAGCGCTGTTGCAAAGGTCAAAAATGGTGTTAAAGAAAACAACCACAGTGAACAGATGCACCAAAGCATTCTGGGGGATGGAGTAGCCCAACTGTCATCTTTGATTCAGATGTACCACCACTGAAGAGTGTATGTGTGGGGGGTTATTTGGATATTTATGTCTCTGCCGTTAAGTATGCACATATGATTATTCCCGCACGCTCTCTGGCACAGAGTGAAAAGTAAATATCCATATCATCACAAAAGATATTTCAGAGTGAGGAAAGAGGGGAGGGTGGGGGGCAAAGCACAACAACCTTAACCATTTTCTTTATTATTGCAAATGAATTGGCAAGGCAACATTTCTTGCATGAGCGCTTGTATGATATGGGGCCTGGCACAGCGAGAAAGGGAAGCCCCCCTTGCATCTTAGACGAGGCACAATGAGAATGCATTGGATTGGAATGCCTCACCGATCATAGCGGAATCAGTATTTCCAGCAAGGAAAATCTTTTCATGGCGAATTAGGGTGGTGGAGGGAAGGAAAATGGTAATGAAAAAAAAAAAAGAAAAAGAGAAAAAAAAGGTATGCATGGCTCACAAACAGGGTTCCCTCGGCTTGGCGCGGCAGATTTAAGAACTTTAGCTAAAGCTAGGCAGAATAGAATGTGGAAAATTGAATTTACTAAACAATTAAGCATTGAATTAATCTACATCCTGCACAGGGGAGAGCGAGTGTGAGAGAGTCGGAGTTAAAGAGAGGGGGAGAAATAGAGAGAGAGGGGGCGAGAGACCACGGTGGCTCATTAAGGGGACATCGAATAAATCAAGTGTGGCTATGTGTGCAGATGGACAGCTCTCCCTTGCTCTCCGTTTCCTCAAGCTTTCTGTTTATGCATCTATTCATCTTGTGAATTTACATATCCCATATTGTGACGGTGGATCTCTACATTGTGTGCTGCAGTCTTGTTGGCACAGGGTGTGTGTGTGTGTGTGTGTGTGTGTGTGTGTGTGTTTGTCACTGTGTGTCTTTTGGTCAAGGTGTGTGCTTTTGTTAACAGGGACTGTGAGTATGGCGGTTCTGTGATGTGTTTGCAGAAGGTAGATAAAAAGTTTTTGTGTGTGTATGTGGGTGTGTGTGTACAAGCTAAGTGGCCAAAAAAATGTTTTATTTGTGTATGGGTGTGTGCGCACAAGCTGTGCGACCTGTGTGTACTGGTATGTGTATGTGTGTGTGTGGGTTGTGTGATCTCAGCCGTGTGTGTATTAATTGCGTGTTAGATCAGTGCCGGGCCTGTTCCGTCCAAGGGCGGCCTGTGATTATAAATAAACTCCCCGTCCCCGCGGAGATGCCACCAGGTCCTGTCTCAGTCCCGCCCCCTTTCCCATGGGGCCTCAGCGGCCACCTCCCAGCAGGCAAAGCGCTCTTTTGTTCAATTACAGCTAATGCAGTAGTTTGCCATTTCCCCTTCCACTTTCTAATTATATTTTCAAGTGGAATTTGTTACAGAATTAAAACAAAAAGAAAAAGAAAAAAAAACCATATCTTTTTTGCGAGCCGAGGCTCTTGGGTTTTTTAATACTTGCTGTTCAACGTCCCCGGGGTACTGTGCTATTCTTTTTTTTTTTTTTACAGAGCTCTGAATAAACAAGTTCTACTCATTTTTAAAAGCTGCACTTTTGGAGGAACTGGTGTGTTAACTGTTTGCGTGCTGAGCATGTGGTCTGGATTACCTCACTTCTGATGTTCTCTGGAGTTACTCGGTCATGCACGGGTGTTTCATTTTTCAGTGTACTACGGTCAGCAAAAAAGAATTTGTAAGAGGTGGAGAAAAAAAAGACCCTCTTGGTATCCTATCCCTGTTAAAATCAACGTTTATCTACCCAATCACCATCCTAGTCATGCCATTGTGCGGTGACTTTCCTCTTTATTGCAAAGCCTCAAAGCCTAATTTAGAAAACAACGATTTTATCGTCCATGTAAGCACTGGATTATAATTTCATTGCCCAGGAACATCAAACAGGCTCTAATAGACCCCAAATGTGTTGAATTTGCTGACTTGTATATCCTTTTCTGTTATTTTATTCCATCTACATTTTGTTTAAAACAAACTCGGCATTATGAATTAATGTCTACTTTTTTTCCTTTAAGAATTCTAAACTAATCCTCCTTGCAGAGGCAGTGCTGCAAGTAGTATCCCAATTGAAACCAGTTGTTCCCCAGTGTGTTTCTCTCCTCTCCCTCCTCTCTTCCTCCATGTGGGTTTCTATCACTCATTTCGTCACGTAGCCCTAAAAGCGTGATGCAAACACCACATTGCCCCTTTATATCTGCTTCATTTGATTTGACAGAGCAAAGATAGGCGGCAGAGTAGGCCTGAGTAAGTGTTTGTGTGTGCGTTTTGTTTGTTGCGTGTTTGTTTGCGATAGCTAGCCGCGTGTGATGAGACATTAGATTCCATTTCCTTCTATTTTGAAGTCTCTTTTCTCTCCTGTCCTCAGTGCTAATGTTGCTTTTCAGAGGCACTGGGAGATAAGAGGTTCCATCTGGTTTAGTTTCAATAATATGTAGCAGCTTTGTATGGGGCAGGGTGAGATCTGAGTCTGTGTGTGTGTGTGTGTGTGTGTGTGTGTGTGTGTGTGTGTGTGTGTGTGTTTGTTTTATACAGTGTCTATGTATAAGTGAGTGTGTGTAAGCACCAAATCTGTAAATGTGTATGTGTGTGAGGGAACTATATCTGTATCTGGCTGTACTATTTTTTTGTGTGCGTCTTCCCTTTATCCTCCTGTCTGGACCATGCAGCTGACACTCATCTGGCCAAGACTGTCCTTTACACACACGCACACGCACGCACGCACGCACGCACGCACGCACGCACGCACGCAAGCACACACACACACACACACACACACACACACACACACACACACACACACAAACACATACACACACACACAGCTTACTATATATAAACCCAGGTCTCCCAGCCACTCTTTTCTAGTTCTAGCTGCTTGTGTTCATTGTGTTATTTTTCTTGAACGTGTAGAGAGAGGAATGGACTTCCACTCTGTGGTAATACCTCAACTTTTTCATTTTGTCTATATAAAGTTTTAAGTCAGCTTCAGTTTTGTTGGTAATGCAATATTTTTTATTTATTTTTCATTTATGTGTTTGAGTAAAGACTGTGGGAAAACTTCAGCTTATTTGGTTATGTCTCTGTTCTGGCTCTACTTCCCAGAATGAAATTTAAATCTACATTAGTGGGATTGGTCATCCACTTTTTTGTTTTCATTTTTGGACAAAACGGAGTATTTATACTTATGTAGCAATACTTTGACTTATTTACCTCTCTCTCCCTCTCTCTCTCGTCTGCTCTGCTTGGATGACATCACTCCCTGGCGCTTGCTGCGGCCTATCTTAAGTTGTAGCTGTTTTGTATTTTCATCTGCTAGTGGTTTGAGCCAAATGGAGGCAGCCGTGGATTGCATGCCTCAGAAAGCTGGGAACTAATACAATATGTTCGCTTGCTATTCGTCTGGGCCTTTCTCTTTTTCGAGCCCCAATAATCCTCATTCCATAAGATTGTTGCAGGGACTTACACACACTGCGTGACTGGGCTGAGAGTTGGCAAATGATGAATTTTGTGTGGAGCTTGATTGTTTTGTTTTTGTGTATGTATTATGTATTTCAAAAGTAGATAATAGAATATGCACACACAATTACACATTACACATTAGATTAACTGACTGACTCTCTCTCTCTCTATGACAGACGTCCTGGAACAGAGACCACGATGACACGGCGTCCACACGCTCTGGAGGAACGCCGGGGCCATCCAGCGGTGGACACACATCACACAGTGGTGACAACAGCAGCGAACAAGGTAAGAGACTGAGTTCTTTGTCGACATCTTTTTCTTTTTAATCCGGTGGAGGAGAAAAGGGAGCACAAGGGACACAGCTTACATGCGGACCAAGGTGCTGAGTGTGTTACATCTGCTAGATTATATCATATACATCAAGTACAAGTTTCTACTATGTGTCACGATGAGGTCTGACAGACTTGTTCAGGCAGTTTGGAGAGGGGATTACGTTTTCACAACAGCTCACAGTCGCTGCTAGTAAGGGGAAGGGAGGTCAGAGGTCACATCAGCTATATAAGAGCACTTCTGGACCGTGTAGGCATTCACTGTCTTGCTCAAGGGCACGTTGGCAGAACAGACATGGTGTGGTAGATGGCTGAATCCACCCTGTTTCGTGCTACTGACCTTTAGCATGCAATGTTCTTTACTTGCATATGCATATTTTGTTGTGTTTGTGTGTTCCAGCCTTCATTTTATCCCCGACTACACAGTTCATACTGTGTATATACTGTTTGACTACTTAGCTTACAGAACCCCCTACAAGTAGGTGGCTGTTTCTGCTCTCTTTCAATCATCTCTGATTATTCTGAGGATCCAGGAATCTTTTTCTTTTTTCATATGAACCCCTTGTCTTAAGCAATAGTGATTTTTGTGTTTTAGTATTGTTTGAATGTCTGAGAGGTCTTCCTGACTTAATTTTAAAATGTGCATAGAATTGAATTATGATGTACTTGATTTATTTTTAGGGTCTAACACATTAGTCTACACTTCCTCTTGGACCAGACAGCTCTGCTGAGATCTGGATGTGTGTGCATTCTAAGAATATGTGTGTGTGTATGTGTGTGAGGTTGAGAGAGAGAGAGAGAGAGAGACAGCAGTGGGCGAATCGGGTGGTGGTGGTGGTGGGGCGGCGTTGCAAACAAACTGTAGGCAAAAAAGCATCTTCATATATTATTGAAGGCGATGTCAAGGCAAGCAGTTTGCAGGGTTGCCAGTGCCAGGAGGCAGAGCCTGGGTGGGAGCAGAGAGCGCCGCCATGCCTTCCACTCCAATGAGCAGCCATTTATACAGTCAACACACACACACACACACACACACACAGCCAGACTCTCTGTCTCTCTTTGTCTCTCTGTCTGTCTCACACTCATCCTCGCTCTTTCTGTCTCTTTCACACACATTCTCTCTCTCTCTCACACATACACACACACACACACACACACACACACACACACACACACACACACACACACACACACACACTACACTGTTTGTCTTTCTTCCTTCTTCCTTGTCATTAATGCTCAACAGAGGAGCTGAGGGACTGAGAGGTGAGACACGAGTTGGGATAAAAATAAAATATAGACGCATGATGTGGAAGAGGAAAACAGACTGATAAAAAAAGAGTGAAATTACAGTGAGACAGGGGAAGACAAAGCAATATTGTGTGTGTGTGTGTGTGTGTGTGTGTGTGTGTGTGTGTGTGTGTGTGTGTGTGTGTGTGTGTGCGCGTGTGCACGCCTCTACCTCTGATGACTAATGGTCTTGGGCAGCTAGACAAGATCTGATTGGTTGCTCTAATGAGCGTGCTCTGTGCCGAGTTTGGGCTCCTGCTTCTGTGACCTATGCCCTCTATTGACCAAACTGACACTTCATTTTTCACATCTTTCCAATTATAGGCCTTATGTTGGCCCGCCTCCTCTCACTCTCTCTCTCTTTCTCTCTCATCACCGCTCTCTCTCCCTCTCCCTCTATCTCATCATATCTCCTCCCCCTCCACTCTGCCCGACTATTGTAGGTTTTTGTTTGTTGTTGAAGTTCATTAGAGGGTAAAATGTGGGGTAGTGTGTGTACAGTGAATGTTCCGCATGCGTATGTGTGTTGTGTCAGCTCAATGAATGTGGTGCTTTGAAGTGTTACAGGAGAGTTGGGAGCTAACATGATGCATGCATGTAGGTATCAGGGTATCTGCGGGTCATGAAACATGTTTGCTAAATTTAGAGGGTAGGAAGTACTGAATTCTTCTTAATTTGGGCTTTTAAACCCAGGTAGCATCAAACAGGTCTTCCTGAAGCCTGCAGACACCTTGATTTCTGCATTTTTCTGCATGATTCTGGTTGTTTTGTTTATGTGGGGACACAAACACACACACACACACACACACACACACACACACACACACACACACACACACACACACACACACACACACACACACACTAATAACAGTAAATACTGGAGGACATCTTGGACTGGTTTCAGGTTTATAGCAGTTAAGAGCTATCACTGCCACGTCATATTGGCTCTGGCAAATTGTGTGTCAGTCACTTGGTAATCCCAGTAAGCTGGTTATTTATCTGTTTGGCACTTTGCTCGCTCTCTCCCCGACAGTTTCCCCCTGCTGTCTCTCCTCCTTCGTTCTCGCTCTTTCATCTTCGCATCCTCCCTCTCTTCTCCAGTTTTCCCTTGTCTCCCACCTACTCTCACGACTCCCTCTTTCATTTTGCTCTCAGTCGGTTTCTCTCTCTCTCTGTGAACCCCCGTGCTTTTCTCTCTCTCCTCCCCCTTTTTTCTTCCTTGCCTCCCACTCAGTCTAAAACACTACCTTTGTTTATCCTTCCTCTTTCCCTTTCTCTCACCTCTTTGTTCGTTTAGCTCTCTCCTTCTTCTCCATCTTTCTCTCTCCAGTTTTTCACTTTTTTATCTTGTCATCTTTTTCTCTCATCTTTCCTCTTCACGTTGACTGTTTTTTGCTCTTCCTCTCTGTTCATCCATCGTTCCCCCTTTTCTCTTTTTTGTTTATCCTTCACACTCTCCCTTTCTCATCTCAGTTTTTCTCTTCCCTCTCAGTTTCAATTCTTTCCTTACTCCTCTTCCTGCACTTTTCTGTTCTCTTACCTCTTTCCTTATTCCCTCCTCCCATTTCTTTATGTTACATTCTTGTATCCCCCCACCTTTTTCTCTCTTCTACCTTTTACAGATTGCTTTCTCACTGACCTTTCCCTCTCTATCTCTCTCCTCCACTTTCTTTATTCTCCTCCTCTCTTCCTGTAGAGCTGCACCACTAATGGCCATCTTTCTCTCCTTTCCTCTTTCTCTCCTTCTTTATCTCATCTATCCTTCAGTCCACCCCTTTTTCTGCTTCTCCTCAGTCTATCAAGACACACTCTTACTCTCCTTCTACACCTCATCTTGCACATAGTATCTCTCTAATTCCTCCCTGTCTTTCTCTTTTGCCCCCTTCTTCCCTCCATCCTCCCCCTCCAGCAGAGCGAAACAGCTCAGAGGAGGATGCTGGATGGTCGAGGGCCTTTAACTAGTGAACTCCTCTCTCAGCCTTTTTTCTGAGGCTATTCCTTAGACAAACACATGCTCCGCTCTGCCCTCTTCTCTGAACGGTTCACTGCCCACTGGTATAAAAATCCCCATTTCCACCCGGAAACATAGCATTCACTCTCTCAAACCCAAGAGCTGTAGGAAATGTGAGGAAGTCTCTGTATTATGTAAGATCAGAGGTCTCTACGCGCAGATTGTTTAACTCAATTGCAGGAGAATATGTAATGCAAAGTAATCGATGATGTGATAATTACTCTTGGACCTTTTTTTCATCAGCAGGTGTTTTGCAGTGATTTGACAGTGAGAATGTGAGCAATAAAAGCATTCTTTTTTATTTTTTGCATGTGGTGACAATGCTCACATGCTGAGTAGTTATGGGTGTTTATGCTCTGACCACAATGCCGGTGGTATTTTTTAGCACTGAATTCCATTGGCAGTCAGAAAAAAAATGGAGGGAGGATCACATTTGCTTCACACATGTCATTAAAATCAGTCCTGGGTGTCTCCTCTCTCTTGAAAACAGCAGACAAAGAAGAAAGCCTCTTATTTTTCTCCTCCCTTTCTCTGGGACGTCTTTGTAAACATCCATAAGCTTCGATAGTGAGAGTCGGAGAGCGGCCCTGTAGTTAATTAGTCCCACTCTATTAGCCCAGCTGTTTGCTAGCTAGTTCCTACCAACAGGGCCCTTTGTTTAATACCCAGAAGCCCTCTGGAGAAGCCTCATTGTAGCTGTTGTTGCCTTGGATCATGCTTTTCTGTGAAGAGTAATGCTCGAAGGGCAGAGGAAAAGCCAACAGATCATATATGCCTGCGATGGAGGGGGGTCCCTCACGGACATGAGTGGGCCTTTCTCCCAGTATAAAGTACTCCTCTTTGCCTGTGTGAATTTGTAAGGACACCCCTTGGCTTCTCCCAGGGCCTGGCGTGCGAGGAAACAGAATAACATTCAGGCACTGGATCGGGCAGCTGCAGCGATGTGGATGCAAGTTGAGCAGAGGAGTAGAGCAGAGTGTTTGCTCTGTTTTTGAAAGCTACAGGGTTTCCCTCTCTGCTTGTCAGAAACATCCAGGGAGTGAGGCGATGACTGGCAATACTAGATATGTATCACCAATTACCCAGACCGTTTGTAAAGAGTACAGTGTGCCGCGCCAAGGCAAATAGCTCCCTGTAAGGCTGTGTGTTAGTGTCTGCATATATTTTGTAGTGTCTGAGTAGTGGCCTGAGATTTCTGGTTGTTGGTCTGATATCTAGCTCTGAGGTTTTTTTTTTCTTTGGCTGGTGTAGTTGGAGGAATTCTCAACATGATATTTATGCTGATATGTGCTATTTGACTGACCTAAACTGTGTGCATGTCTGAGTCTTATATGTGTAGATCAGAGTGTTGCTGCACATGAGGTCCTGTTGAACTTGAACTAATTGTTCCAGTCTGTATTGTACTTGATGATTAGAGTGAATTCAGCTTTGATGTATGAACAAATAAAACCCTGTAACATATGTAAGAAAACAATGACAAGCTCAAGAATATACTGTAAAGTCCTGAAGTCCTGAAGAAGGAAACCTTTGCCTGATCAGTTGCTAGTTAGAATCCCAGCTGGGATCATCTTGGTGGTCTTGGCCTGCCCCTTCTTCAGGATGTGGCTCTAAAAACATTTGGAGAGTCCACTTTATCATGTCCCAACACAGCTTCA